AAAAATCAAATTCTGAATTAAATATTAAAAAGTTTATTTTCAATAAATTAATTAGAATATTCACAATTATTCAAATATATTCAAATTTTGATTAAATATTCAGAAAATAATCAAAAAGAAATCAGAATTTGTGTGAAATAATCAAATTTTGAATAAAATATTCAGAAAAATATCAAAAAATAATCAAATTTTAATGAAATATTCAGAAAATAATAAAAAAATTCAGAATTTTTAGAAGAAAAACTGTTTTTAATAAATTTTTAGAAAGTAAACAAAAAATAATTAGAATTTGTGTGAAATAATCAAATTTTGAATAAAATATTCAGAAGAATATCAAAAAATAATCAAAATTTGAGTTATAATTAAAATAAAAATGATTCAATAATCACAAAGTTAATGGTCTCAACTTGCGAGTGACTTTCCCCTTGCGTTGGAATATGTTTGGATTCAGTGTCCAGAAATTTGGCTAATAAAGAGCTTTCTTATTTGCCTTTCGTCGGCCATTAATTAGATTAACACAGCATTAGAGCGTTGTGGTGTGTGTAAACCTAGAGCGTGTTTTCTTTGTCAAAAAGCCACTTTTTTTTAACCTCATGGCGGCGAAGAAGCAAAAAAAAGTAGCAGAGAAGAAAGCATTTTGGATCAGTATTTGTAGGCCCTCAGCGTTTCACATTCTCCCGTTCTCATCTACATAAATAACAAGGGAAAATTTTTATTTTCCTTTTTCCACATTTGTACAAAGGGAGATTTTAATGGTCTCTCGAAACATACCACGTCAGGAGTAGTTTACCTTTTTGTCTTCTGGCCGACGAAAAACACACAAACAAGGAGGAAACAGGAAGGATTTTCTTTCTCCGTCCACCATGATTATTTAATAGTGTGTTGAAAATTTCCAAGGGATTTCACCTTTCAGCTCCGAGTGGGATTTTCACTTCTTTTTCACGCAATGTGAGCTCGCTGTGTGGAAGAATTCCCTTCTTCTCATGGCAGGCACTTAAGATATCGCATTTCTTCTCTCTATGCTCTAGTGTTGGCCTGTCTACAAGCCAAGGAAAACGTGATGCATTTTCATGTGCGGGAAATTTATCAATAGCGAAATGCTAATTTCAATTCCACCACAAACAGCAATCATGAGAAATCTGCTCTTGCAGCACAGATTCGACCACCGCAATTAAATTGAGCAATCATTGAATTACACGCCCTTTAGACGAGGGAAAATCAAGTTGATTGATTAATGAAGAAATTGTTCTGCAACAAACCAATCGTCTAATGAATCAATCATGTCACTGCAAATTAATTTATGAGCTTTGCGACCATCTAATGAATATGTAATTGTCGCATAATTACTGGTGAAATGGGCAATAATATTTGAATCACACACAGAATTTTAATTTTCCACCCTATTTCCACTTAATTCTGTGGAAAATTTCCAGCAAGTGTGCGCGCCAAAAAGTGATTCTGCACTGTATTGAACTCACACCAGAAGCTCTTTCGAGAATGTTGAGCAGCAGCTGCTCAAAAGGTCTTTGACACATTATGCTCAAAGTTTTTCCCTTCCGCATGTGGAGGGGGCAAAAAATGCAGCTTCACTTTTGGCGTCCGCGAGGCACGGAAAATGCAATTAAAGTCCGAGTGAAGTGCAAATGTTTGCCAACAGGAGCTTTTTGTTGCATCTCAAAGCTTTTGGGGGTGGAAAATTCAACTAATTTCACACCTAAGTGAATTTTGGGAGTTGGCGAATTGCCCAGGAAATCCAATTGACAACGATTGAGAAACATCCCGCAACAGCATATTATATTAATTCACTGATCCCACGCGGAAGAACTTTTGACCTTTTCGTGTAATAAAAATTAATTAATTATACCTGGAAGTTTCTGACTTTGCAATCCAATAACAATTAACAACGAGAGGCCTTTTTCTCTGGGATGCCCAGGAAAATGCCCGTCACACTTCCTCATCTGCCAAGTGTTGTATCACTCTCCGAAGTCTCTCGAGCCTCCTTGGCTGCGGATGTTCCGCCGGGGGCACAATGGCCCGCAGCGCATTGAGTGCTCGAAAGGATATTCTCTGCGCTGAGTGTCTCACCTCCGGGAGTCTAGGCGAGCGCACATAAAGCAAATATTATGATACCCCCTCGACAAGCAAATTATATGCCGAAAAAAAAATGTAAATAACAGAGGAGGAAAAAGTTGCGTGGCAAGAAAACAAACGTCAAAGAAGAAAGCACAATCTTGTAGGGCCCGCGGAGGCAAGAGGGGGCGCGCCACGGCAAACACCACCCCCTGAACCGTAGATAAAAAGCCGAGAAGGCGCACATTAAGCTGTTTAGGAAAATTGAAACGAAAAGTGAAAACATGGTCCCATTCAAGATAATAAGGTGCTTGAGCCAGGAGAAAAATGTAAATTATGCTGAAAAGACAGTGAATACACTACAAACACTGACTAGGCAAAGGGAGATTAAAAGGGAGGGTAATCCACCAGCTAGATTCCCAGCGGCACTGGGAGTCACTTTCACTCCGTCTGCAATCTCTCCGGCACGAAACAGGAAGCCCAGCGCCTTTATCGCCCGCCAACGCGCTGACTTTATTGATAAAGAGCTCGTGCTTCGCCTTGGCACATTCGGGAAATAATAAAATCCACTCTCGAGAAGTGAGAAACCATACAAATTTCGCAGCGCGAGGAAAGTTGAAATTTCTCAACTTGCCATGTTTTATATCCATCTTCACTCATATCAAACAACAGTAAAACTAAAGTCATTTTCATTACCTCTTGCAAGTATATTCCGAAGCAATGAAAATACTTTCAGACGCGCCACAGCTTTTTGCAAAGCTCAAACAAGCAAAGTGATTGAGCTGCTCGCAATTTTAGAGGCAGTAACTTTGCACTCTTTTCACATTTCATCTGAAAATGAAGAGTAGGGGAAAGCAGGGCACGACCTCAGATTTGGTATTAATCAAGGGAACAATCACAGACACTTTCAGAACTTTGGAAGTGCTTAAAACATTGTATTTTCCTTATTTTCTTCTCCGTTTTTCCAAAACTTCTAAATCTAAAAGTCTTTGACCTAAAAAGACAACATTTTTACTTGTATGATCTTCAAAATTTACTGAAAAACCAGTATTTGAGAAATATTTGAAGATTCATAACCTAAATACTATCTTCAGATATCTAGAAAAATCTTTGAAAGAAACTTATTTAGAAACTTTTAAATACAATTCTGGGGAATATTATTCTGTTATAAATCGACAATAAGCTAAAATTTGCTATTTTAGAGTGGAAAATCAATAAAATGGTGCTTAAAATAGGCAATTTTGTATCTTGAAACAATATTTTAGCGGTTATGATCAATCTTAGCATGAAAATTTGTGATCTCCATCAGATTTCATTATTATTTCCCTAGTAAATGCAAAATTTACCAACTTAGGCGCAAGAATAAATGATTTTTTAAGGTTATTTTGTGGCAAAATAACCTAAAAAATAATAGATATTGGAGATATAAAAGTACTTCCACTTCCAAGTACTTCAACTGAGCTGTACACCATTTCTGACCATATTATCTCCCCCTTGGTATTAATGAAAGAATGTAATCAAGGGAAAAATTTGTTTCAAATTGCGTTTCAAAGCTCTGAAGAATTCTTGCAAATGCTGGTGAAATTTTGCACAAATCTAAAATCCTTACTTTCCCACAAGAAAAAAAGAAAGAAAGTGAATAATATTGAGATTATAAGTATAAATACATTAATAATGAGTTGACAAGAAGTAAAAAAGTCAACTTTTCAACGTGGAAAATGTCCAAACATGCTCTGAAATTAATGTTGCTGTGTTGATGATTTTGAATCTTCCACCTGAAATGCTAAATTGATGACGAATCGATTTTGCCTCGCTCAATAATTAAACGCGATAAGTGTTTCCACGGCGAAAACACACGAATTTGCACCACAAGCTTTAATACTTGGGCCAAATGCTGTGCATTTTGCAAACCAATTGCTACTTAAGCAAGACTGGGAAGTTGCATGCAAGGCTTAATAACCTCCGCCACTCTCGCCTGAGATGCTGTTAAGGTTGAAATCTCAGGAAATGCACTACTCCGTTGGCAATAATTCAATGTCCCCCCCCGATATTCCCCAACTGCATTAGTCTTGCCGCACTTCCGATTGTCTGGCGATGGAAGCATTATTGATGAACGAGAGTGGCTGGCCGCAATTCTGCCGAAATGTTTCGCTTCACTCAATGCGGCGCCCCATTCTCGGGGATGACAACGTGAGGAATGCCAGGGACTTGGGCAGAGCGACGGGAGATTTATAGCAAACACTCCCCAAATCCAATTTTCAATCAATTCCAACATTTCAAAATTTGTCAGTTATTTATGGATGTCTCTCAATTCTTCAGCCAAACGATGTAGACACTGCGACAACACTGGTCTTCGACTTCCGGTCCGGGGGTGGGTTTTGGGGGTGGCGTCGGCTGTCTTGTCGCTCGGTGCAGTTCAATTGGCCCCGACAGAGCGCTGGAAGTCGCCGCGGAGGGTGGAAAGCTGGGGAAATCGCAGGGGAGTGGACTGGAAAAGCGGAGCTTTCCCCAACGACCTTTCCCCTCGATGGGGTTGGAAAGCTGAAGACCGCCGTGCCTTGGGGCCGCTCTTCAGTGCGATTTCGCCTCTCGTGGAGCTTTCACGCGCCCAGGAGCTCTTCTGATGCTTGAGTGACACCCTCTGAGACCACCCCAGAGTTCATCTGCAGACCGACACCGTAGGACTCCTGTCCGTGACAATGATCTGTTGCGGCCCACTTGACGTGTCCTCCGGAGGACAATGAGCGGGCCGGTGAAGTGGTAAATTGGTGCTAATCCCAGGATTACACAACACAGTACAATGGATATCAAAATTGGATTAAGTGCTGCAGTAAACTGGACAATAGCCACTCAGTGGAGATTTGTGTAAATTGGCAGATACACTGAACTTGCGTGGTTCCTTAATTCTCGGTGCGTGCGTGTGTTGTGCGAGAAAATGGAGAAATATCTTCATCACATCCAATTGGGGGTGTTCATCGCATTCGTAGGCCTCGCATTTCAAGGTTCGTCTTACCCCCACAGAGTGGAGATGACTTTACGCAAATGGCAAGGGACAAGAGTCGAGGGTTGGGGTGGAAAGTTTCAAATATCAATTCCAGCGGGGATGCCGTTGAAATCAATGGAAAGTCAATCAGTGGCAAAGTTCTTGCCTCTCTCGAGAGCCCCAAAATCACTTTGAGGGCGAGAGGGGGTGGCAAATTTGCATGGTGAGTGCGTGACTGTGTCGAGGAATTTCATTAGGCGCCCGCGCTTTTTTGCCACCCCACCAAAAAGTGAAACAACCGCTGCGGATGAAGATGATTCTCGTGCTCTTTGCCCTTTGACCCGAAATTCGTGCTTCCAACGCAGTCATCTTTTGATTTGTTCGCGGCAAATCTCTCCTCGTTATCTCACAGAAAAGGAAATAGCCTTTGAATGGAGGAAAAAAATGGTACAAATTGAAGGTAACATTTCTCACAGAGTGCAAAGAAGGACAATTATAATTTCTAATTTGTGCGACTTGAAAGGGGTTTGCGATGGAAGGCCATTGAAGGTGACTTTCTGGCACTAAAAAGGTCATTAAAATTTGAATATTGTTAAAGATACTTTGCAATTTTCCAGCAATTCATGTGGAATTTGTGAAAGAAAATACACTTGCCTTTGAGGGAAGTTCGAGATGCTGTGAAGAAATTGTCTTGTGCAACTTTATCTTGACGATGCTCTATCGCTGAATTGCCGCAAGGAACTGAACATTACAATGTAGTTTTTATACTCCGCAGCGCTTGTAAGATGATATTCTTGCATATAAAGTGATTTATTTGCAACTGACTTGCGAAGATACTTCACTCTCGCAATGCAAAGCGTTAGTTGACTGCGACATGGTGAAGATGACACTAGATAAATACAACTTAGTGGAGAAATACGTCCTGTTCCACGCGTTATAAATATGTGTGTCTTCAAATTTGTAAAAGAGAGCGTTAAGAAGAAAAGCGATTTCGTTGCTCAGCTGTTGAGAAAGAACACAGAGCAAGTTTATAAGCTGTGAGGATAGAAGGAAAGTTTACAGAAATTACTGAAAACATCCCTTAATCTCATGCTGTATAGTTAGCAAGTTAAGGAATCCAATGAGACTTTAGAGTAAATTGATTGAACAGGATATCAAATAACGTTTGCAGGTTAAAAGACGATTTAGCAAAGTGTCAATTATCTTACTTGATATTCGATAAATTCCATTAATTACATTGTAAATACAACCTTCATTGAGCATGTCAATTATGATAATTCCATATTCCGTATCCTCCATCAAAATGCTCAAATTATAGGACTGAAGATCAATTGTAATTACCTGAAATTAGCTAATAATTAACTATTTTATTAACCCTTTTTGATAAAAAAAAAACGAAAATGTGCATTATCGTCTTCACATATCGACGGGTTAATGGAAAACTATGAAAAGTCGATTTATCATAGTTTTCGTCTTATGTATTTTTGAAAAGCTTTTTATCTGTTCTTTCTGTACAAAAATTTTGAGTTTTTTCATCTTATGAAGCAATAGTAAAAAATCTTATTTATCAAAAAGCACAAAAGGGAAAAATTGTCAAGTTTTATTCGAATGAAAAGTCGAATTTTCATTGTTTACGCTGTACAATTTATCCAAGAAAAATGTCTCAAAAATTGAAGACAAACGCATAAAATGCCATTTCAGAAAATAATTATGAATTTTCAGAATTATTCTAAAATGGTTTTTAGACTTTTAATGAATATTTTACATATCTTTTAATTTTTTTTCACTTGAAAACCTTAACGAAAAGTCCAAAAAAAGTGTAAAAATTTGATTTTTTCGAACTCATTTGGATAAAATCGACTCTAAGATTATTAAAAATTGACTTTGGAAAGTAATATTTTCAGATTTTCAATTCATTTTGCCATATTTAAGTCAAAAATTTCAATAAAATCAACTAAAATATTTACAAAATAATAAATTCAGAGCAATATTTGCACTTTAACGGACGATTTGATGGTGTTTTAAAGTAAATTTGAAAAATTTCGCAGCGATATTGAAGCAAAATTTAATTTTTGCTCTGCTGAAAAATGGCGTTTTTGACTTTTCATAGTTTTCGAGGCACCCATCGATATTTATCATAATTAATAAGAAAAATCAATATTTTCGGATTTTTGCTCTGCTTTTAGGTTTTAATGACTGTCACACCTTTAAAGGTATCACATTTCGACTTGAATAAACAATGTCCATTCAATGTAAAACAATACGTTCTAAAACACGTCGATTTCCCACATTTTTGCCCGTATCAATTCAAACTTTGACCCAACAAGGGTTGACCCTAGAATCACCCTTATCACTGCGACAAAGAGAGCATGTTTGCGATACTTATACTTCCTTGAGATTCCTGGGGAATTTCTTTAAAGTCGCACTCAAAGCAATTCGCAGCGAGTGCACAGCTCATGAAGTTCATGAATTATTGCCGCAATGAAGCAACCTATCCCAATACAATGTTTTTCCGCAGAAACGAAACGGAGCTGAATATTTGATGATCCCCGCAGAAGAGCTGCGATACGGGTGGTCTTATCGATGAAGCGCACAGCGCGAAGATGCCTTTTATTTGTGGATAAGTCCTCTATGAGTGCCATGAATAAATTCACCTCTATTTGCGAGGGTTGGTCGCGCGAGACGCGAGATCAGTTGTGTTTATCTTGTGTGTGTGTGTGGAGGGAAGAGGGTGTGAGCGACGGCAACAGTCGCTATCATCATCTCTGACAGATTTTCACATACTCTCGTTGAGATTCCGCGGCATTTGCCATATTAGCTTAGTGTAAAAGCATGAATTTTCAAATTAAAATTGCCCTCTGCTGTGGCGACACTCTCGTCTCGTGTGATGTGCCGAGCATGAAACGGATAGAAGTGGCAGTTAATCCGGGCGAATCCTCGATTACGGCGTTTTATGGGTGTCGACCCACCCATCACTCAGCAGCCCCTTTAGCGCATAAGGAACCCTCGAGCGAGTGTCGATGCAGCGATGAAAAGTCGCATGGAAAATTACGGGCGCGCTATCACACTGAGGTATCTTCAATTTATGACAATGTTCAATAACAGGCGGCTCCCGAAGCTATACCCAGGAAAATGAGAAATTCCCCAACATTTCGCCCAGTCTTGCGCCAGTGAGCAGAGGGCGCTTTGATGATGGAAATTCAATTTTCATTTTATACATGAGCACCCGACACTCTTCTATATATTATCAAAACATTGTGTGCACCTTCTGTTTGTGAACAGAACACTTTGGCACTGATTGAAAGTTTTCTCGGTTATTACATGCTATTGAACTCATGTTTATATGCAATTTACTCACCCCATGCCTCAATATTGGGGGCTTCGGAACTTTCTTCGCCGCCACTTGCAAAATGAACTTTTGCCCTCACACTTCGTTCAGCAACTCCCTCTCTCTCTGTGGCTCTTCTCCTGTCACCGAGAATGCACACAACTCTCGGCATCTCATGGAAATGTAGCCATTTTTCCCGCCACAGAGACTCCAAGCTTTTCACACACGCCCCAAAAGGATTGAAACACTCTGAATTGAAGTGTAATCTCAGGCTCCGTTGGGGTTTTCACTCGCATTGCATACAGGAAAAGTAGCAATGTGAAAAATCCGTGAGAAACATTTTGTCGCACCAGAGCTGTGAATAGCATAGAAATTGATTTCAATATTTTATTAACACGTGTTGCATTCAATGATTAATCACCGAGAAGCATGAATGAAGTCGCGATCAAACAGAGTTGTTAGAGTTTGAATCCTGACGATTTGTCGATTGTCCATTTGTATCAGAAGGAAACGAACATTGCTGTACGAATGAGAATTGTGATTGCTTAACAATTAAACCACAAAAATCTCAAATTAATAATTATAGCAAATCCACTAATTGAATTTGTCTCATTTTCAAAGCGCTCAATAAGCAGAGAAAGCAGAACGAAAGTTCATCAGAATTCTTTTCCTGCAACACGATCTACTATCAATTCTTACACTTTCAAGAGGCGCGCACCTTCAGATGCGCTTTCGGAGAGGGTAAATGTTTGCTCAAGTGCTGTTCACACGGAATTCGCCATTTGATCAGGATGAATGTAGCAAAATTGAATGTTGGCGCTGAAATACATAAAATTTCCAATGCACTTCGTGACTTCCTTTCTGGCAAAAAGGAAAATGCTATTGAGATATGTTCAATGGAATTCAATTTCTTACAGAAATGCTCCTTTACGGTGAGTGTGTGAATATTTGAAAGACACACTCTCACATGGGAAAGTCGGTGAGAATCGCAGTTTATGTGGTGGCATTTATGCACATTTTCGGGGGTGATTTCGAGTCGAGAGCCCGTGAAAGTGTACATCAATTGATTTCCCAGGGATGCTTTTACGACCACGCACTGGGAATCCACGCGCGTGGGTGGGCGTCTCCTGGAATAATTTCCGGCTGCGTCGTAAATTCCACTTTATGGTATCCCACAATCATCCTTACAATTTACTACGTACAATGTTGCACGAGCTGAGAATGATGACTCCCCAATACTTTGTAGCTCAAACGGGCTTCGCCGAGAGTGAGTCGGTCAATCTTCAGCCCTACTTTGACTTCAACGTTCACCGCAATATCACCGTACCCCTGGGCCAGACGGCATTTCTGCATTGTCACGTGGAGAGGCTTGGCGACAAGGGCGTCTCCTGGATTCGGAAACGGGATCTGCACATCCTGACTGTGGGCCCGCTCACCTACACGTCCGATGAGCGCTTTCAGGTAGTTTTGTGCTTGACTTTTAGAGCGATTACAGACTTGCCACTTATCCTGGAATAGGCGCGAACTCGGATCAATCCTCCGTGAATGAGCCTGAAGTGTGTAAAGGTCAGATCAGCGATAATTCGTGGTTGGTCTGCACATTTACACACTCAATATATGGATCAGCCATAATTCGTAACTGATCTCACGCTAAACACACTCAGTTATTCTTTTTTATTGACACTAGCGCCACTGTGCTTGGTGTGTTCAGCTGTCAGTTGATTTGCATACTTCAAAAGCGTGAAATTTTACGTTAAAATTGCGAAAATTGATGATTTGCGAAAGAATTTAATGATTTTAATAATCCAGGAAATAATTCGCAAGAGATTCGCCAATTTGCCTTTCCTGAGTCGCACAATGTTTCGGCGCATTTTCGCACGAGCGCGCTGCCGTCGCGAACCCCAAAAAATCGGCTGAACCTTCGATGTATCGAGGGATCAGTCGCGTTTTATGGCTAAACGAACTGTCAGTCGTACACACTCGCGCTCTCGCTTAACCTCCCGTGGATCATCAGCAAGTCTGTAATCGCTCTTAGCTCCAGAAGTGAAGGGATTAGGCTCAGGCTTCGACTCTTTCCAGATTTACGATCTGAAGAACTCCACTCAATGGAATCTGATGATTAAATACGCCCAAAAGCGCGATTCCGGGGTGTACGAGTGCCAGATCAACACGGAGCCGAAGATGTCCTTGTCGTATACTTTAAACGTTATTGGTAAGTAAAGTCGCAGTCGGAGAGACGTGTGTTCGTGCACGTGTGGCGAAGCCATGAATTTTAATGATGGCTGCAGCAATTTCATCTCAAGAGATACTTTGTGGCAAGATTTTAGGATACTTTCTAAGCTCTTTGTATTCCCATCCACTTGAGGAGATTGCCTTGCCTCCCTCAAATTCTTTAACCACAACTAACTCTGCATGCGAAGACATGTTGTAATTGACCAGGATTCTCACCATTGTGTGTGATTTTTGCAGAACTGAAAGCTGATATATTGGGTCCATCAGATCTCTATGTGAAATCTGGCAGTGATATAGATTTAATTTGTAAACTTTCGCATCGCTTGGCGGATGGTGCCAATTTGTTCTGGTACAAAGGTATGCTTTCACTCACACATTTCCACCACTTGGCTTCGATTCATATTAATCTGGTACTAACTCACTGTGTCGCATTAGACGGTGATATTTTGGAGGCGGCAACGAATGCAAATGAAATTTCCAGTGACACCTCCAAGAGGATTTCGGCGGACACAGACTGGACTGACGGATTAACATCCAGGTCGGCGCGAGCTCGCATCCTTCAGTCCGCCATTCAACTGACAAATGCGCTTCATTTCAGAGTGACCATCCGACGCGCAGTTCCGAGCGACACGGGGAATTACACCTGTAATCCTTCCTTGGCGAGGCCCGCCAGCGTCTACGTTCACGTCATTATCGGTTAGTGCCATCAAAGTCACTCGGCCATAATTTTCTCTCCAGTAGTTCTTCTTTGATGTTTGCTTAGTGAAAAGGGGGAGATAATATGCTCTTAATCTGTACACCACTTCCGAACACTTCCAATTCGCAAAATATAATAAATATTTTAAGGTTTCATGCGATATTTCTGTAAAAATCCACTTTAAACTGCTTTTTTGAGCGACTTTTTCGACCATAACCTCAAAAATATCACTATGATATCTTAAAAGTCTCAAATTGGAAGCTTTCTAGATGACAAAATTATCTTTTATGCTTCGAAAGTGATCTAAATAATCATAATCCAAGTTCACAATATTCTTTTTGAGGTTATGTTCGACTTTAACACAATTTACAGTGTTTTTAGGCATGAAAGGTTCAGAATAACAATTTTATCGCATGAAAATACTTAAATCTGCTGATGATTAGCAATCTTGGCGACTTTAGCATAAGAATTGATGTGCTAGAATGCGAATTATTCACTAAATCCGTCCGTGATTCCTTACATAACCTAGAAAAGATTGTTTCTTTGTACAATTCAAAGGAAATCCAAAGAATTGTGGTGATTAGTCGTAGGAAGATTGTAAGTTTATGAAGACTTCCACTTCTTAAGTAATTCAGCTGAATTGTACACCACTTCTCACTATATTATCTCTCCCTTGTGAAAAGCAATAAGTAAAAAATGCAACTTATTGCAGATAATTGATTGTTCAAAGGTGGAAATATTCATTGAATTTGTCATAAAAACTATCCAAACAGAAATATTTCTTGCATTTTAGTATTGTGAATGTCTGTCAATGTTTGTTTGCTTGAAAAACCATTAAATCTAATGCATTTTGCACAGGTTTGTGTTATGAATAACTAGAAGTCAATTAAATTACTAAGCATGACAATCGAAAAGTTAAACAAACACTCAGCAGTCTCAACACTATTGACACTGAGCTTGTTTCATAATTGTAGTTTGCTTTGGAGTTAGATATATAAATTTCTGTGGTATTTGCCATGTCTTCTTGCATGTGCATAAATACATCACAAACAACTCCGTAGTTTTTGCAAACGCGGGCTGCACAGCCTGAATTAGCAAATGCCGTATCTCAACGCTGTTCCGCTGCATCCCTTCTTGCTCCTTGCCTTTGTTTTTAATTAACCCCATGATGCGGTGGCGGTGCTAAATAAATGTGTCGCGACTTCTCATTCATTTTCATGGCGATAATTAAAATGCGGCAAAAAATGCACACGGCTCATGAAGGCGAACACCCCGCGGCGATGCAGCACAACGCGGCGTCACCCTTGCGCCCCTGGCTGTGGTGCACGAGCTTCCTCGTCAGCGTGATCACGAGCCTCGCCAGCGCCAGATGAAACGGCCCAATGGCGGCAGCGTAAATTGCAGTCCCGCGGGTGTGCGAATTGCAAGATGGAACACTGATGGTGTGATCGTTTCGGTAGTTGTGAATTGCCACTGAAAGTGCGCAAATGTCTCGACATGGCGTGTGATTGTTGTGTTATCAAGACAATGGATAAAATATATGTATAACTTTCTCTAGCGTGAAGACTGATACGGACTAATTGAGTTTTTCAATTTGCACTATATATAGTTTATCATGATTTTACACCCCATCTTTTGACCACTTGAAAGTATATGCATAGCAATGTTTATTACCTCCCTGTTGGCTATATTCAGAAAGTTTAGGACGTGAACACACGAGCATGAATGCATAAATCCTCCCTGGCCTCCACAATCGCGGGAATGTGAGTTGAAGCAAACACACACACACACATGAGTTAATTCTGGAAAATTGTAGTGAAATGAGGAAGAGTGTCTAGTTTTATACTTTCGACTCACATTGTGGATAAAGAAGCCGTTGTAAAAATGATGATAATACATCTTAGGATAAATAGAATGTGAACAAATCTTCGTGTCTCTATATTAGAGATAGATTGATGAAGACATTGATGGAGTGTATGCAGAACAGTGTAAAAAAAAAAGAATTATAAGTATTATTAAAAATGATTAAGAAACAACTTCTATGGCTTTTCACAAGTAACACCGTGTCTCTCTCTCCCACCCACTTGACATCCCCCAAAATCCACCCTCGAAAGCTCTTCCGGTCGCACAATACGTCAACTGCAATCCCAGAAAGTCGCTCTCACGCAAAGTCATCAATCTTTCCAATCTCATCCCAATCACAATGGCTGAACTCCAAGTGTGCAAATTCACTCTAATGATCCGGACAATAAAAATGTTTTATCACACTATTTAGCCACGGCTTGACGCCCCCACGCGAGGATGCTTGAGAGATGAAATTGCGGCCAAAAATAGGATGCAGAACAAAAAAGTGCGTGTGATTCCAGAACTTTGCCTACAGTTCTTCGCGTGCGGTGTTGTTGATAATGTGCGGGGGTGTGTTCTGAGCACAATTTCTCAAGCATTGTTGTCATCAACTGGAAAATGCCTCTTTTGTGTGCGATATTTGGGGTCGTGACACATGAATTACACCGCCTAGAAGGGTGTCCTATTGATTTCTGTCACGTGCACCAGAGTTTCTTGGTCTCTCGCGCGCCATTGTTTGTTGGAATGGCGCGGATTAAGAAAATATGTGCGACGGCGCTGGAAGTGAAATTCTAAGCACTCTTCCGTAATCACTTCCGAAATGCTGCGGCATTTCTCACATCATATCTGCCACGATGTGGGCTTTTTTTTTCTTCTTGTTTGCCTCAGCGCACAACGACACCGTCTTGGGTGGAACTATTAAAGTGCCATAAGCGAGATGCTTGGCTTTCGAGTGGCTCTTGACTTGTGGGGGTGGAAAAATGGGTCAAAATAATATTCACAAGTTTTGTGCATAATTGCAGTTTAATTGCACGAATGGCGAAATGATTCGAGGGTAAGTATTTCCTTTGACAGTATAGTTATAGTTTAATTTGATTGAGTGTCTCCAATTTACTGAACCTCATGCATATTTGTTCAACTATGTCTGGGCTGACGAAGACAGAGTTTCAGTCAATTTACCTGTTTGGAAATTCAGAAGGTTCGACATAGAGTGTATGCCAGAAGATCAAAGGGAAAATGCTTGAGAATTTCGCACCAAATTCTATAATAGTTTTGGCAAAATATTTGAAGAGGAACTGCAATTTATTAAACTGTGTCTCCCTTTACAATGAATTAAATATTAATAAATAGAAGTGCCTGAAATAAGATAAAATTTATTATAGCTAGTTTGAGACAAGCTTGAAAATCATGAACTGAAGATCAAAAGCTTATAATGTTGTGCAGTTCAGATACAATTTGCTAAAATTGAAGTTTCTCAACAAGCTAAATTTCCGAAAGCACTTCACGTTTTTTTTCTTTGAAATCATTTCAAATCACAGTTTTGTCCAATTGAGCTCTTTTGAATGCATATAATCTGCGCTTAATTGCGAACTTTGAGGAATTTTCACCGCTCGCAGTGGAAAAATGCTCCTTTCTCTGCTTCGCAGCAAAGCCATCAATTCGAATCAATCCTTCTGATTGATACTTCAAGTGAGCACTCAAATTCATCGCCAACCTGGCCTTAATGCCACTCGCATTTCCCCAGAATTGAATGCAATTTGTAAATCGGTGAATAATTCTGAAGTGTTGGCGGAAATGGTGAGCGAAATTCTATGCATTCCGCCTGTGCGTGGGTGTTTTCGATGTACAAATTCAGCCGTTCACGTTGGGAAATTGATAGAATGACGCAGACGAGTCAATTTATCAGCAGACACACTAAACGACAGTCAATTCAGCAGATGAAATTGATTAATGGCCGCACTGTGAGGCAAATTATTCAAACCCGCCACTATATTTAATTACCATCTCCAGTCACAGAAACTTCCTCTCGAGCGAGATGAGAATTTTCACATCCGCCGTCTGTTGATACAAATTTATTTATCACACGGATATAATGATGCTGTGAATCCTTGAGGGTGTTTGTGTGTTTGCATTCGCGCGAGGTGCAATTTTTGCAACAAATTACAACTCGAAGCTACTTTTGTGCAAAAGTTACACAATCATCCTTAAATATTTATGGTCATGCGATGGTCCATTGCGTAGCGGAGTTATATTTTGCCAGCATAATATGGATTCGCCTGCAGTGAAAATGGGAAAAATATGGAAAGCGGATATTTTCTCCAAGCTGAAAATGGTATATTTATTCAGAAAAGTGACGAGTGTAATTCCTTTCTCGAGGAATTGCATTCACACCATTCGCATGGATAAATCGACACTTTGAGGTAAACGTGTTGGAAAAGTGATTGCACAGTTTTACTTTATTATCTAAAAGAAAGTAATCTTATTTTAAGAAGATTGCATCTCAAGACGCCCCTGAGACTAATCAAAAAGTGTTGCTTTGAGAGTTTCACACAAACAAACTTAAGGGGTTTTTCACTGAAATTTTCCCGCACTTCTTTCCTCTAAAGGCCTCGTCGAATTTGTCTTATGTGTGAATAGGGACGATTGTCTGTCGCATAAACTTTCTCGTCATGCTGCTGGCAAACACCTTTCCCTTCACTTTGCATGTAATCAATGCAGAGAAAGGGTGGAACGGCTGCCAAGGAGGGTGCTAAGGAACGCTGAATGAGCGAGAGAAAATCTCATTTGGGACGGTCGATGCGTATCCATTTCGAAGGCGGGAAACGTGTTGCATTGAAAGTGAGTGGATCGATGGTGTGTTTTCCACATCTCAATATGCTGAAGACGTTCTACATCAAATCCATACTCGCGTACAAGTCGGGATAATAGATATTCATACCGATGTCTTATGCGCCCTTATCTTTCTCCCAGAAGGCTAAAGTCTCACGGAAAATGTCGTGTGACATCTTTAAAATATCACTTATGGAAATTCTTCCCTCGGAAGCCAACATTTCGCCCGCGGGACGAGGTGGGATTTGCCCGAAGGTGACAGATATTCAACAATGGAGAGGAATTGTGTCAATATTCCAAGTGTATTTCCCTATCAAAATTGTTTACTGACGAGCAAATCTCGCACATTGTCGCGCGCGCGCGATCTTAATGAAAATGGCTAAAATAACAATATGGTTTTAAGATGTCATCATCGATTTTGTATAATGAAAATTGCACACCTGCGAGGAAAGGAAGAAAAAAGACTGAAACACTCTTCTTCACAGTATTACATTGTCATTCCATCTTTTCATTAGAGAGAACAGAACTCTTGGGGTGGCATTCGCCTGGCTGCAGCGACACAAGAAGCAATTTCAGTAGAAGCTCTGCTCTTTATGAAATGGAGAAGACACTGGGAGTGCCGAGGCTCTCTCGAGCAGACAAAAAACCATGGTCAGAACTCAATCTTACAGCCAGGGCAAAGTCAGCACTGTCGCGCTGCATTTTAATACCAATCTTCGTGTCGCGCAGGGAAAATATTTATCTCCGGAGTCATACCGGCACTTGATGAAATAATAAAAATTTAATAATAAATCTCAAAATATCCGCGCAACGGGGAATGAAATAAAATTTTATGTAGGGAATGATTTTATGTGGGCCACGCCATTTTTCGCCCCTTTTTTGTCATTCGTAATCAGTCGGGCTGAGTATAAAAAAAAATCCCCTGTGATTTTCCACCCACGATTCTTCGAGATACTCTCGCGATTTCACGCCATTTCACACTCTGATCTCTGGCAATTGCATTCTGTGCCTGAGGTCGTAAAAATTCAATTAAACACAATCACAAATCAATGCGCGTGTCAAATTGCTGTGTGTGTGTCGCTTTGCGAGGGAGCTTAAAGCTCTGGGGGATGTAATTGCAGATGCAATACGGATGGTTTTCACTATGGTGTCTTCTCCTATTTTCCTTTTATTCGCAAAACGTTTTCGCATCCATTTGCACTAATTTTGATGAGGACACTGGCCGACGGGTGCCTCGAAAACTATAAAAAGTCAAAATCGCCATTTTTCAGCAAAGCGAGTTCAAGATTTCGCTTCAATATCGCGGCAAAATTTGCCAAATTTATCTTAAAAAGCCTTCAAATCGTCCGTTAAAGTGTAAATATTGCAAAGTATTTTTTATTTTGTAAATATTTTAGTTGATTTTATCAGTATTTATTAGAATTTTTGACTAAAATATGGCAAAATTAATGGAAAACCTGAAAATTTTTACTTTCCAAAGTCGATTTTAAATAGTTTTCGAGTCGATTTTATCGAAATTAGTTCTGAAAAATCAATTTTTCATACTTGACTTGAAATTTTCCTTAATGTTTTCAAGTGAAAAAATTAAAAAAAAGAGAAATATTCATTTAAAGTCTAAAGAACATTTTAGAATAATTCTGAACATCTATAATTATTGTCTGAAAAGGTATTTTATGCGTTTCACTGCAATTTTTGAGATAATTTTCTTGGGGAAAATTCTTCAGCGTAAACAATGAAAATTCGGACTTTTCATTCGCAAAACATGACATTTTTTTCCATTTGTGCTTTTTAGATAAATAAGATTTTTTTCTATTGTCTCATAAGATACAAATCTTAAAATTGTTGTACAGAAAGAACAAATAAAAGGCTTTTCAAAAATACATAAGACGAAAACTATGATAAATCGACTTTTCATAGTTTTCCATTAACCCATCGCTGCCAATGTTTCGTATTGACTGCAGCAGCAGATGACACAAGTTTGTGCATCTGAAATGAAATCAATGAAGTACACATTCAATATCACGAGGAATTACTATGACAGAAGTCCTGACAATGCACGTGAATTGCAGAGCAGAGAATCAGAATATCTGGATGATTACAATAAAGTAATTAATAGAATCCATTTCCATTAGTTTTCCCGATGCCAACTCGTCCGTGCGGTTCGCCAGGTGGAATCTTTTATGACTTGAAGTCTGCGGTGGAGCTTTTCACCAAACCACGGAGCGGCAAAGTGGGTTGGAAGTGAGGTCGAGATTCACTCGGATTTCTCTTTAAAACCCATTCGCTTGAAATTGAATAAACGCTTGCCTTCGATGAGAACATTCACAATAATAATCCACTTTTCATTCTCTGAATT